GTATAAGACTGTCATACAAAAATAACAAATATTGCATATAATTCAGAAATCTGTTTTGTGTGAGTCTTTGGATTTCTAAAGCACAGGCATTTGGTTTCAGAATTAAATGAACTGGTACAAGTGGTGGAGGCACAAAACAGATTACATATGGTTGTCTGGAAATAATATTCATTTTAAGTCAAGAATAGTGACAAATGCCATTGGGGTAGATCAATTTACAAAGACATAGTAGAGGTAGAAAAGAGTATTCCACTTATTTTAGAGAGTGCAACGATATATTTGGTCATCTTGCTGCCTTTTGTTATTTATATTATGAAACAATGAGTGTCAAAGGAAAACTATTTGTATATTCTCATTTTATAAATTTAAGCGAAAGTATTTGTGAAATTGCTATGAGTAAATTCTTAAGAGCAAGTAATCCCTTTAAAGAAGCTTAAATCTGTATCTTCAGCAACCTTATTTTATTAGCAACAGCGTGAATCGAGATAGTTACCACTTGAAAAGATAGTCAGGACGCCATATACAGTGAAACATCCTTGGGATATATTATGGGTATGGTACTTCCTTTGGCCGTGGCACGTGGTTCACTAAAGTGTTTAAAATCTCATTTCTGTTTCTGCTGATAGAGATGTTGAAGCTGTCCTATAGCACTTCATAAAATTCTTGTTATATTTTTGCTGACACACAGGAGCTTAGTAAATGCCAAATCCATTCAATAAAGAAGAAAAAAGATACAGAGAGTAAAAATATCCTGACAAAGGTCAAAAAATATCTAAGTTTTCACCCTGAATCATTCTGTTCTCTGTTCCTCCCCTCTATCTTTGGCCAGTTAGGAAAAAGAACTATGATAGTTTCCTGTGAGTATAGCTAGCTAAAGAATTTTTTAAGAGAGATGTACATGACTGTACAAGGCCATAGTCCTTGCTTGTTTTGGATTCATTTAGATTTGGTTTTACTTTAGGTTCTTTTAAACCTGATGGGTCTGTCATTTCTGATTGGCTTCTTCAACACTCCAGCAGATCAAACTCTTCATCTGAAGATTCTGTTGTATCATGGAAATTGGACTAAATTTGGATTCCTCTGAAGTTCTGTAAGTTATTTCACAGTAAATGTGCCCCAAAAATATCCAATCATCACTGAGGGGTACTTGTGAGCTAGGCTATATCGTGGAAATAAACTTCTCTGTCCCCACCCCACCCCCCACTTTCTACAATACAATGGTCCATCTGTGAGGGAAGAGGAACTAACTCCACATTTAAACAGAGACTAATTTCTAGCCACTCATGTATTAGAAAAACTGTAAAATAAATGTCAAACTGCTTAGTCATTTCTTTCTTAAAATAATTGACCTACGGTCAGAAAAGGGCAAGAAAGACAAACCATTAGGCACAGTAAGAGAGGGATTACATTCAACAGCAATTTTCTTTTAAACATTTTAAGCATTTCTGATGTGTGCAAGAGTTTCCCACCCCTGTAATAATTTCTCATTCAATAAGTCAAATTTAATGCATTGTTTTAGTTATAGTAAAGTGTTTGGAGAAAACGTCTCAGTATATCTATATCTATATATCTAGATATATAACATAACAAATATATATCTACATAACAAAAGTAGGGAGGATAGGGGCCAGCCCAGTGGCGTAGTGGTTAAGTTCACACACTCTGCTTTGGTGGCCTAGGGTTCACAAGTTCGAATCCCGGGCGTGGACTGATGCATCGCTCATTAAGCCATGCTGTGGTGGCGTCCCATATACAAAATAGAGGGAGATGAGCACAGATGTCAGCTCAGAGCCAATCTTCCTCAGCAAAAAGAGCAAGATTGGCAACAGATGTTAGCTCAGAGCCAATCTTCCTCACTAAAAAAAAAAAAAAATAGGAAGGATAAAACATCAGTATGAGAAAAGAAGAATGAATGTTAAATGATTTAAAAGATGATGCATCTTTTCTAAAATCTTGCTACTTAAGCTGTTTCTTCTTTCCCCTAATTCTACCTGTATAATTTGTGTCTTATTATAGAGTTCTCTCGACCTCCAGTATCTATTACCATTTGTATCAGGGGCATCCAGTCATGGACAAGGTTTCTTCAGTCCCAGTTTGGTTATTGAGGTCTCGATATTTAAAACATTGGTTCTGAACCTGGATCCCTTGATTCCTAGAGATTCGTGAAGATGTTAAGGGAGATCTATGAGTTCTTCACCATGTTTATACAGCTGCATGTACTCTGATGATTGCCTAGAACATTTCAGTTCCCCTAACCTGACCTCCCAATCAATTATCAAATTATTATCTCAGTTTCTCTGACAAGGCAAGATGGCCAAAACGGTGAATTTCAAATACTGCTACAAAGGAAGTGACTATTTTTTCTCTAAATTGTTTCCATCTTGAAAGACATGCCACCAGAACAAATTCTACAAAGAAGTTGAACAAATATTTTTAAACACTGTTTTTTAATGTGACAAAATAGTAAATATCATACAACAATTGTGCTTCAAAGTAAAGACCTATATCAGGAAAACTGTCATATTCTATTACATTTTAAATCTATGTATAAACATTTAGCAAGGACTGGCTAAAAGGTGGCCTATGAAACAGTGCCACAGGAAGTTATCCCGTGTGAAGTTGAAGCTAGTGGAGGTGGGTCTCTTCCAGTTTCCCTCTGCTCCCTTTATAGTTTAGATTATCCTTCCTTTTGCTGATTTCATCTCCTGTAAATCCATGGGCACGTACTCGGGAGACTCTAGATCTGGCAGCTAGCTACAGGCTACAGGGGTTAGGCATAATTAATTATTCTTTACTATGAATCTGCTATATTTCCTTCCAGAGACACTAATTCAGACCCAGGTTATGCCTGGCTGGGCAGGGGCCAGAGGAATTCAGACCACAGAGTACAGAGAGCATAAGGTGGTAATAACTCTATCCACCCAAAACACTTTGCCTGAAAGCACCCTTTCACGACAGTGAGAAGGCCTGAGATGTGACCAGAAGGTGGGGCTTGCTAGACTGACTGCATCATTTCTCACCTTCCAAAACAGTATCAGGCCATGGAATTCTCAATAAATCAGGAGAGCTAGGAGAAACGATTTGGAACACTATTTCTGCATGTTGCTGCAAGCACTGTAACTCTCTCTAGTCATTGAGTTGATTTAGGATTCTGGCAGCCTTACAAATGTGTATTTCTACACTTTGTATTAATTTCGCTAGTTTACATTTAAGAGAAGGCCTATAAAATGAGTTTAAAAATATACAAAGAATTGGACAAAAAATAAGGTTTTAAAAAAGTTTGGAAACTGAAAATACACACAAATTTTTCATTTTGAGAAGATGAAGGATAATGAAGGTAGTAAATTGATCTGTATTTCCACTGGAAGGTTCTAAATTTGTAATTGTACATTCCACATTCAAACACAATATAATATTTAATTATTTTATTAAATTATATTAACAACTTGAGGTTGTAATCTGAAAAGCTAGTTGGCGATACTTTTCTGCAGCTGATATAAGGCATACTAAATACTCTGCCAACAGAGTTACTAATATATATATATATTTTTTACCTGTTATCTAAGAGGTAAACTTCTCGTTATGGGAATGGCTCTTTGTCACAGAGAGTGACAGTCATGTTGAAGGTATTTTTTTGTTGCTTCCCTCATTTTCTAGGCCTCCTATATATGTTGTTAAACAATTCCATCTTGGGCCTCAATCTAGTCTCTGAACACCTTCCTTCCAACTCTTAAACCACATAAATAGAATATCTGATTAATCTGATGGGTCATGAGATATATTTTGATAACTAATATAAAACTAGGTTCCTAAAGATTAGTGGACATATGTGCCTCATAAACTTAGTTGAGAACCATTAAGCACTGAAATATCTTAAAAACTCAGCATAGGTCCTGACCAAAGCTTCCAGTCTTTGGCAACAGAAAAATGTATTCATTCACTCCACACATCTCTGTTGAGTGCCTAATGTATGCTGGCACCTTGTTGGGCTCTGTTCCAGAAAGTTTTTGAGAGACATCTTAGGAAATATTAAGGAACAAAAATGAGCCAATAGGAGGAAATAATTTAAATGTGGAACAAACGACCAGGGAATCTATATTCCAGGTTTAAATGGATTCCTTTGAGGAGGGGTAAGTAGAAGGAATTTAGAAACCTGCTCCTTTTCAATATTTTCACTGTGGAGTGACCATGTTTTCAGCTCCAGGGGCCCTTTATGAGGAGCTGTGGGCCTAGAGACGCTGGGGGATCTCTGCTAGCTGCTTTCCTTGTCATTTCTCCTCCCCCTGTGCCCCCTCATCAGGGATCAGGACAGAATCAGCTGGAAAATTAAATTACTCACCCCCTTAATGTCTGTCAGCTCCCATACATTTCTTTCTCCTCCTGCCTCAGAGTACAGTTCAGCTCTTTAAGAGACGAGCCTCTCAATGAAGCTAGTGCAGAATTTAAACATTTAAGAGAGAAATCTGTCAGTTTCACATCTCGAAGGAGAGCTTCCCTATAAGATCATGGGTTTTGACCTTTTGGGTCCTTCCATCTCACCTTCATCCCTTTCTTGTAATTCTCGGTTAAAAAACAACAACAACTTCGGAGCAGCCAAAGCAATAAGTCCTCTGGTTCCACGTCTGCTGTAAGAAGCAGATTTTTGCACAAGGATAAGGTTACGGCTGCCAGCCCAGAACTCCAGCGGTGTGGCAGATCAGACGCTGGGCTCCTCCCCTCCCCCGCCGACGAACGAGCGGCTAACAGACGGGTGCAAGCAGACAAGTAGCTGTTTTTATTGAATACAGAAGCTCCTTGAAAACTCTGTGGGCTCCGGGGCTCTCCTGCAATTCCTTTCATTCCCAAAGTCCTGGAGCCAAGCACGCGTCCCCCGTAACTCCCTCCCATTTTTTCTCGGGGATTTGGGCAGGAGAGGAGGGAGGAGAGGAGTGGGAGACGGGGGATGGTTGGTGGGCTGGGCTTGCCCGGAGTCCTGATTCTTGGGCAGAGGGAGACGGGGGGCGGGCTCGGGGCTGCCGGCGAGGCGTGTGATTGGGTCTGACCCTCAGCCGGCTTGTCAGTTTCGCCGGGGGTAAGGGGGGCGCGGGAGGGGAGTGGGCGGAGGAGGGGGCTGCCCAGAGGCTCTCGTCCGGCCCACTGACGGCATGAAGCCTTTAGGGGGACGCAGTCCTCTCAGATTTTTGGTTGAAGCCCCTCATCTGCCTTCAGTCTGAAGGCAGGGCCCCGCAGAGGACGGATCGGAGGGTCCCGGCCGGCGGGGCCAATCGAGAGGGAGAGGAGGGGGCGAGAGACAGGAAGGAAGCAAACCATCAAATTTAAAAGAAAAAGCCCTTTGACTTCTCCCCCTCTCCCTCCCCAATGGCTGTGTAGCAAACATCCCCGACGATACCTTGGAAGGGAAGAAGTTGGTCTGCAATCGCAATTTCTTGGGTTGAGTTCACAGTTGTGAGTGCGGGGCTCGGAGATGGAGCGGTGGTCCTCTAGGTGGAAAACGAAACGGTGGCTCTGGGATTTCACCATAACAACCCTCGCATTGACTTTCCTCTTCCAGGCTAGAGAGGTCAGAGGAGGTAAGAAAAAATGGTTTGGGGGGGGTGGGAGATTGTCGTGGGTCTTTCTCATTCTGTGCCCCTCCCCCTCTTACCCTCCCCACCCCCCCAAAAAAACAATTCTCTTAAATAAAATCCAGCTTGTAGTTGCCACCAGATTGGAAGTGAAGACTGGAGAGAGAGATGGATGTAGGTGGGACAGTAATGGGAGAAGAGATAGCAGGAAAAAAGATCTGTCAGGCACACAGCCTACTGAAGTGCCCTTCACCACTTTCCGGAGTCTTTGAAAAGAGGAAAAATATTACCTTGAACACAAGGGCAGTTGTACAAAGCTTTTGTTTGAAGAACAGTCCTTAGACTGCGCTTTGAACACATCTTCTGATTTCTTCAGACTCTAACTAATGGAAATATCTTTTTAAGGGTGAGCTGAGGAGAAAATATAGAGACAGAGTATAAAGTGAACCTTGATAAAGTTCTTTGTCTGGAACAAAGTGAGAAACAGGCTGTTTTACTTTTAAGGATATAAGAGAAAGCAAGGGGGATGAATCTAGAAGACTGAGAACACTGTGTGTGTGTGTGGCATTTTGAAGAGATTTTAAGTGGAAAAAAATTGGCAGATTATAAGGAAAGAGTTGAAGATAGAACACTTTTCCCTGAATTTCAGTCCCCTCCTCCCCACTATGACACCCCCACCCCACCCCCACCCCGCCTTTCTTGCAGGTTGGACGTGCAGTTCTCTTGGAGAATGATGAAACTCGCCAAGCAAATGGGGTGGGGGCGGAGGAATAGGGATTGAGAGGGAAGGGGAGGGGGCGTGGGGTGGGGTGGGAGGAGAGAGGTAAGGAAAAGTTCCTACGTGGCACCACCAAATATTCAATGACCAGACCTGCTCTGAAGACTGCAGCCCTGTCAGTACCCAAGGAGGGAGAGCGACTTCACTCCTCCCCTCCGCCTCCTCCTTCCCTCTCCCCCGCCCTTTCCCGCAAAGGCATCTGGCTGGAGCGGTCCGTTAGGTGCTGTAGACACGGCTGGCGGGAGAACGCCTTTGGAGTGGAGGGAGCCCAAACAGCTTAGGGTAGAAAAGCAAGCTTTGTCAGCAGTGCAGAGAGAAGTGGGGGGTAGGAAGCAGGGTGGCGAGGATTGGCTGAGAGAGAAAGAAATTGTCAACCCTAAATGCGCAGGCTTTAGCAGAAACCTGAGTCTGGCCCTGCTAGACGCCAAGATCTGAGTTCTCCCTAATGGGAGTTGGCGCTCCCGGAGGCCGAACTTTGCGAAACCAGGTCTGTCTTCCTTCCCCAATCTTAGTGGTGCTCACTTTCCTGAGGAGCAGGCGACGCTGGATTATTCCTCTGTGTGACTTTTCCTGGTGGATAGTCAGAGCCTCATTAGGACTGTATTTGAATTTTGAAGTAAGTTATGCTAATTATGTTGATTAATTCATTCATTTTCAGGGATAGACAGTAGATCCTTTGAAAGTGGAATCCATCAAAAGTTGCATTTTACCTCTGGTACCTGGCCATCAGCTGTATTGGTCAGTTCTGTCGGCAGTTCTGCCCTCTGCTGGTTTTCTTTATTATTTGGAATTCAAGCATCTGCCTTAGTAAACGAGGCCTCTTAAAATCCTTCTCACTACAGTGATGATGGAAAAGGACACTGGATTTAGGAAGGACAGATATACCATTTATTTTTCAGTTTGTCACACACACGTGGGGACAAAAGTATCATAATGGCAGCTATTTATTTAAAAATATAGAAACAGACTTTCTTTAATGAAGACAGATGAAATATAAACTCAAGAGATCCCATTAATAGGCATTCAGGGATTATTTCACTGAAGATATTTACGTTCCTTTTCCACATTAGACCTTCCTTAAATCTCTGAGGATATCACAAAGATCGCATTTTTACACTTGTAGTGTACAGTTTTCTCTTTTCGGTCTAGCCACATTTAAACACTTTTAAACAGACATCTCAGTACTACACCAAATAAAAGGAGGAAAAAGAACCTTTCCTATTATTATAAAGCTAAGTAATATGACAAATAGCAAAGTTTAAGGACCATATGTTGTTTCTGATTGTCATTTCTGATGAAATGTCTTGAAAGTTAGATGACTGTTGGATGTTCATATTGTAAGATTTGGTATTTGTTACACCAAGGTGCTGGGTGCTTATGTCTTAGTGGGAAGCTACATATTTACTTAAACCTACTCTTGTAGACATTCTTGCCACCTAATAAATTTCAAAAAGGAAATAATAGTATATTTGCTTTACAAGGAAACATTGGTCTGAATCATCACTCAAGGGAAAAATAAACCCAGTGTCTAGTTCTCATACTAGCCTTTAGATTTGCAACTGAAGTAACCCTGAGTAGGATTTTATTCCAGTTTCTAAATTATACACTAGCATTATACTATAATTTATTGATTTCACTGAGATGCAGTGGTGTGATTTGGTTACTAAACCAAAAGATAATTTAAAATGCCTATTTTCATCTAAAATTTATATTTCTTGGATTAAAAACATTAAAGCCTTAAAAAGTTTTGGTTCATAGTAAGTTAGACTCTAATGAAACTGTAGTTAGGATCCTGAAGCATCTACCTTGCAGAGAAAAGTTCTTTGAGTGAATGGATTAAAAGAAAATTTATGTCACACAGAGTCATATTTTACTTTGCAAATCCAAACCCTATAACTTGATAATTTTTGACATACTTATTCAAAATTTTTAGCATTTATTATGATTTAGCGTTTTATTTTTATAATATATTCATTTGCATTAACTTCAATTTCGTGTTTCATATACTTGTCTATCATTAACAAATGTTTTATCTCAAGAATTTATGGGTTTCTTTGTCAATTTAGTTCGTTACTTAATATAGATAGGACCTGAGATTTACCTGGAATTTGCAGTGACTACACAATTAGTCCATTACTTATTGTAGATAGAACCTGAGATTTACCTGGAATTTATAGTAGCGGCACTGTGATTGTGTTAAGATAGATGGTTTTAAGAGTTTTAAGTAAGAGTTAAGCTATAGTTGGGTATGAGGAAAACAAATATCTAATTGAATCATTTTTTACTAATTAAAATGGTACTCAACCTTTGGTGGTGGTGTATTGCAAACAGTTGATTAATTTTATGGAGAACTTTCAGAGCCTGTCAGCAATTGTAGAGAGCCCTGCTGGAGTGTTGTTTTGAGTGCCCGGGATCAGCAGGTGAAATGGTGCTGACTTCCAGAGTATGTGCTAATCCAACTTCCCAAAGACATCAAGTTTGTCCCTGTGATTACTTAATGAGATATGCTTCTGGTAACAAATGTTAGATAAGATTATGAATATTGTGTCTCTCCGTTTGTTTTTTCAAATCAAAATTAGCAAAGTCTGTAATAGAGAAACAATAAAGAAGAATAGGTATCTTTGAGAAGGATCTTCCCACATGTTTCATATAGATAGCCTCAGTCTAGGTGGCACATAAATGTTCAGTTATTTATAAACACTTTCATGCAATTGTTTATTAGTTTTCAAATTAAGTTTATTAATATATTAAAGTGACAATTTACTTCATACCTAATACTTAACCAAGAGTCTACTTTGTACTAAGAAGTATTCTCATAGTTTGAAACAAAATTATGAAGTTGCAAAATGAGAAATATATATATCTAGATAGTATGATAGCTTACAATATATTTATTAATATTTTAGGTTCTGTGTTAGCCTCAATTTTTGATTAAAATAGAAGGAGCACATTATTCAAGTTGAGTTATCCCTAAAATACAGCAAGGCAAGCATGAGGCCTTTTTCAGTTTTGTGCGTAGGATTCCTATCTGACAAAACATCTAAGTGGCCACCTTTCTTTTCTAAAAATTTGTTTCTTTTCTGAGACATATTCTCTTCACTCTGGTTAGTTTATTGAAGCGCTGCCTATTTAATGATAACGAATGGACTCAAACTTGGTTGACAGTGTGTAATAAAAAGCTGAATTTTTCAAAGAAAGAAAAGATGTTTAGATGAGATTTTTTTAAGAGAATGCTACAGATAGAAATTGCTTCTCTATACTACCTTCTCACTTTACAAATGAGGAAACTAAGGCACAGAAAAGTTGTTAGTTGAATATTCTTTCTCACAAAAACAAAACATATCCTTATAATATTCAAGATTTTCCTGAATGAGTAAGGTGAAGATCTGTAATAATGATAAAAATCATTATCTTTAAATAATAGTAGTCTGAGACTTTATGGAATGACGAAATATTACTTAAATATATATGTGCTGCAGTTTAGATTAGGGGGAAGATGGATTAAGTAAAAATGACAGATTTAAAGAAAATCAGATAACATATTGAGTTATAGAATGCATTTAAAAATTCCTTAATTGCCTGAGTTTGGAGAAATTAATTTTTGATCATTTGTATTGTTAATATACCTAATAGTCTATAAGATTATCTGTATCATAGTAGAAAGCATAAGAGTTTGTAAAATATTTTTTGTATACCCTTGTTGCTGGATTAAGATCATAGTTTTCTATCCTCTAAGATAGTTAATGGAGGACCAGGCCCAACTTTGAGTTTTCAAGAAGCTAAGAAAATCATATATTTATTTTAAATAAGTCAAGTAATGTCAAATTTCTATGCTTTTCATGTTGATTTTAGATTGATTGAATGATATATATCATATATATAATAATATGACTTTCATTAATAAGTCAAATAATGAATCGATTATTACTTGATATGAATTGTTTAAGAGAGAATCTTTTTCCAAACAAGTGGTCAACTTTGGGAAAAAATAGGAGAGCACTTAGTAGTGCAAATTGTAATTAAATTCTTTTTTTGGATTCTCAAAGCATCTGAAACCACATAAACACCTTTTACCTCGGGAATAGATGGACAGTTCATCCACAAGGAAGAGCTCACTCTTCCTGGGATACCGTGATATTGATTGTGCTGTCAGTAACTGTGACAAATTTTACTGCCACATGTGCAATTTCAGGGAAGAAACGAAGAATTCAATTTTATTTCTCTACAT